GTGCCTTACACCCTTCCAACTCCCTGTTACCAACTCGAACTTGCACCAGAAATCCTGAGTATTTGTCGTCATAAATATTTTGTAACTCTGGTTCTTGGGGTCAAAATAGAATGCAAGTATATTTGCAAACAAAGGGAGAGGGGGGATTGTAACACAGTCATGAGTTGAGGGGTTAAAAACAAATATGGCTTTGGTGTTTGTGAAACAAACCAGGCCATTGCTGCTTGCTGACCTTTGAATTTTTGTTTCCTCACCATGTAACTTCATATGGCCTACTTCAAAGGGTGTCATTGCCTTCTGTTGGGGTAATTTGCTGTTTCTTTGCAGGTGAGAGAAAGAGAGAGGAATGAAACCATGAGAGAGCGAGACAAGGGCGAAAGAAGCCGATGTCGAGCCCCTGGAGGTTCTTCCTGCCATGGTTGAGTTGCTCCTTCCCTTTGCCATGGCTGAAACTTTCTTCATAGGCTTTCTTTTACCCGTTGCCATGGCTGAAACTTCATCCACGATCTTTCTCTTTGCCTTTTTCATTGTTTGAAAGACAGAAGAAACCGAAAAACGGGAGAACAAGTTAAAAACCAGAGAGAGATCTTGAATGAGAGAGAGGGAGACGAGAGATATGATGCGGCTAAATATACTCCTAATAGAAATCTTGAGGAGAAGATTCATTCAATTAGAATTATTGTCATGTGTATTGTATTCTTTCAAGAAAGTACTAAATAATTCTTGCATGGTGCATTAAATGATTCTTGATTTGCAAGGATTCTTTTAACCAAAATATGTTTTAGAAATATTAAGTAAGGATTATCTGTTTTAGAGATATTAAGTAAGGATAGTCTTTGAAAAAGAAACCCTTGTTTAGTGTTAATCTTTTTGGGATTTTTTAAGCCCAAAAGATTTCCCATTAGACACCGTAGTTTGTGGTTTAATGTTAATCTTTTTGGGACTTTTTATGCCCAAAAGATTTCCCGCTAGAAACAGCGGTTTCAGTTAATCGTTTTGGGATTTTTTATGCCCAAAGTGTTTCAACTCCGAGGGAGTATACTGTCCATTTACTACTTAGGCCAAAATCTAGTGTAAGATTTATTTTAGGACCCCTATTTTTTTTGAAAAATAACCTCACCGATAAAAGGCATTTACAGGTTGCGCCCTAGGCTCCAAACAATCAAATTAGAGCCCACCTCAAAAATCTCACAGGAAGAAGTTGTTTTAATGCCCAAATATAATCAAATTGATCATCTCGACATCAACATGCATGGACATGAAAAGAAAAATGGATTTCAAGTTTTGAAAATAGTGCATATTATAATGCATTTTTAGACGTCAATTTTCAAGTTTTCATGGATCTACTGGATCTTTAAATTTTATAATTAAAGATGAATATATATATATATTTAATACTATCATGAAGATTTCCAATATTGAAACCGCATTTCTCCACATTATTTGAAGGTGGGCTCTAATTTGATTGTTCAAAGCCTCGGGTCTATACAAACTACACCCATTTAAAAATGGTTCATTGTATTTGATGTTGTATTCTTACGTTCCACTTTTTTAGAATGTGCACTGTATTTTATTTTATTTTTTATATATCCAATTAAGATAAAATTTTGGGCATTCATATTTTTTACCTTGCACGCCTCTAAAACAAAAAAGAAATAATTCAATAAAATAACCTTGCACCTTACAATTATTGGGAACAATTTGGTCGAATTATTTTTTATTTTTATTTTTTACACATGTTTGTGATGCTGAGAAATATACAATACCGGAGCTTATTTTTAAATTTTAATAATAAAATGGAATTTTTTGTAATTTTTTCTTTTAGATTTCATCTATTTATCTAAACACACCCAAAATATCTTATCAATGATTGTGACTCATGATCATGTGCCCATCAAAATGGTTGGAAGCAACTCAAGATCTTGAGTTTGAGTGATTCCTCTATCTGACGCAGGTACTACTTGGATCTCAAATATGCAACACTCTCCCCGCATCAAACATAATGCATAAAATCACTTATAACATATCTCATGTACTGGATTAGTATAAATTTGAAATGTTGATTTTATTTCTTGTTTGGTTCAGTGGGCATTAGTCCGTCCTAATTAACATTATTATCCTCGATTTCCATTTCCTTTTCCAATTTCCTTTTCCCGTGCAAAAGTATTTTTCCCTCGTTTTAGTTAGTGCCTTTTGCTTATTGTGTTCTCCGTCATAATTCCTACATTGTGTACTGAAGGATTCCTAAGTTGCAAAGAGTCCTTTACAATCTAATAATATGTTTGGGAAAATTACAAATAACCCTCTAAGACTCCTTCCCATGCAACTTACCCCAACCAAATTTTTCTTCTCAAAATATACCTTCTTAGCGATTACCTCCGATCTAAATTAAAAAAAATTTAAACTACCCTCCGTTACTTTTACATACGCCTCTCTCTCCTCTTTCTCACGAAAACGCCACCTCTTTCTCACGAAAACGCGGTCTGGCAGTGTAATGTCCGGCAATGCAAGTGGCAATCTGACACCGACAAAGAACGATCCAACAATAGGCCTATACAATCCGGCAACAGGCCCAAAGTGCGGTCCGGCAGCCCATTTAAGTCCACATGAATGTCCGACAAAAATTTAACTTTTATGTACAAACTTGTACTTTTGTCAAAAAATTTACATTTTTTTACTTGGGGGTATTTGAAAAAAAGTGATAGTGAGTAACCTTTGAAAAAACAAATTATAGTTTAATGTTATGATATTGTATACTATGGGACCATTTATCTTTCTTACAAAGAGGTCATGGTTTCTCCTAGCTATCAAATGTTAAATTGGAGTACTCGATATGTGTCATGAAGTTTAAGAAATTTTTTTTGAAACTTTGAGCTTAATCAATGATACACTCACAACCACTCGATTTGAAATCTTGTGTACAACAATGACTATGACCCGACCATTAACCTTTTATACAAGGTAGTCACAATTATGTACAATCATCTTATGTGAAATCTAATAGCTTGGGTGTGTCACAAAGCTCGAAAAAATTTCCTTTGAAACTTGAACTTTGTCAATAAAATAAATGCAGCTTTCTAATTACACATCCAATGGTCAAAATTAATTGTGACCATCTTGTACTAAAGATAATTAGTATCTAATTGTGATCATCTTGTACGAAAGATAAATAGTATCATTATATACGTTTCCAAAAAATACTTATATCTTTTTTTGTACTTTTCTTAATACTTAATTATAAGAGATAATAAAAAACAAGGATAACCCATAGGAGATAACAAAAGATGAAATAACTTTTGTCGTCTCTTACAATAATCTTTTTTGTAAGGAAACTTCTCTATTTCGAGTCCGGACTTTGCATCCCTAGCTTTCCCACCCCGTGCTATTGCACTTTTAAGTACGTCGATTTTAGCTTTTTAGTGGAGGAAATTTATCGAACCATATCAACCATTTATTATTCGGAAATTTACTGAAAATAATTATTAAAAAATGGTCCCATATATTTTACATTCTATGCCGCAAGCCTACTTTTTTTAGAGTGTGTATTATATTTTAATTTATTTCTTTATACATCAAATTAAGCTCAAATTTTGAGCATTCATATTTCATACCATATGCGTCCCTAGAAAATTTTTTAAAAAATCAATAACATAAAATTATCAAAATGCCTTCATACAATTACAAGTTTTAGGAATAATTTGATCTTTTTTATTTCTTTTATTTATTTAATTTTTTTACACGTATTTGTAATGGTAAGAAATATAGATACCCCAAATTTGAATATAATCTTTCTTTTTTGGGTAAATAAAATTTGAGTATAATATGTTGTACTAAAAGACAAAATTAAAATATAGTATATACTGTAAAAAGTAGGATTTCAGCAAAAATTGTAAGATATAGGAATCTACTTTAAAATTTTGATAATAAAATGGTATTTCTCATAAAGTTCCATTTTTCTATATTTTTGACCTTGTGTGTGTAGGTGAGAAGTATGAATGCCCAAATTGAGTGCAATCTGATGTACAAAAATAATAAAAATCAAAATAAAATATATTCTCTCCAAAATTGGGACTTAAGTAAAAAATATAAAATATAAAATATAAAAATGTACTTTTAAATTTTGATAGTAAAATGGGATTTTTTTTTGTAATTTTTCCTTAAGCATTTCATCCATTTATTAAAACATGCCTAAAGTATAAATAATTCTTCTCATGATCATGTATCCTTTGATAGGCATTTTGGAATTAAATCAAAAAACAAAAATAATAATAATAAGATGTTTAATATTTCAATTCTTGAGTGCATTTTGATCAAGGGAAAAGTTTATATAGAGCCTAGGCTCTAAACAATCAAATTACAGCGTACCTAAAAAATTTCACTAGAAGAGGTTGTTTTGATGCCCAAATATTTCCAAATTGATCATCTTGACATCAAGATACATATACTTGAGGAAAAAAATGGATTTCAAATTTTGAAAATAATAATCTTGTAACGCATTTTTGAATCATCAATTTTTAAGTTATTCAAGTTTTCATGGATCTGCTCGATCTATACTATTTTTGAAGCTTTCAATTTTATAATTAAAGATAAAAATATATTTTAAGGCTAATCAAATATTTCCAGTATTGAAACCACATTTCTCGACACTATTTGAGATGGGCTCTAATTTGATTGTTTAGAGCCTCGGCTCTATACGAACTGCACCCTTTGATAAATTTTTCTATATTTAATCCAATGAAATTAACTTTTGGCTTATCCTTAAAATTCAAAAGAACAAAAAAAGAAACTATTATTAATATGCCCATACAACCTCATAAATGAAAATCAAAATAAAAAAGAGAATTATTGACTCAAAATTTCAATAAGATGATGTTCAAATCAGCCAATTGATCAAAAAGTTTTTACTTTAAAAAACCTTAAAAAAATCCAATTTATCAAAGTGTAAATTACTCCTAAAGAGAGGAAAAGAAAAGCAAAGCCAAACAATGCTGACAATTATAGAACCCAAATAAAGCTGTTCTTATATCTATCAACAAAGATCCTCACATGGTTGCATAATTTTAAACAAGAAAGCAACATAATTTTGTGCCTCTTATGTCAAGGCCAAAAGCCACATCACAAAGAAGCAAAAGGTCATTTTCCGTTTCGGGTACAAAAAGAGAAATATGAGATGAGAATATGCCAAAGATCAATTACACATTCATTGAAATTCTAAAGAACAACAAAGGCAAAGCCACCTCAACTGGTTAGAGGTAGCTCCCCACAGTTAACAATTCTACAAGGAAGTTTCGGGACATCTGATCTGCTTGTTTCCTGGGACTCAAGGGCTCGAACAACATCCATTCCCTCCAACACGTGACCAAACACAACGTGACGTTTATCCAACCATGGTGTCTGCATTGTTTTAAAATAGAATAAGCGAGAAAAAAGTAAAAGAAAGAACATATAGGACTCTCCAATGAAAACTCATATCAATCTATTAAGACTGAAAAACCCTGTCACTCCCTTGTATATTCTTTTCTTCGCAGATCAGTTGTCCTCTCTCAGCAACAGGTGGTACATCTAACCAATGGGTTCGTGAAAATAAAACTAAGTACTTGCACCAATATATCTTATACTTCATATTTTTTCAAAAATGATGCAAGTCTTCAACAAAAGTGAGACATAAATGGTGTCATATGCTCCATTTTTAATTTCTAAAAAGTAAGAACCAAATGGAAGTTTGTAGAATTGCATGAGTAGGAAAAGGAAGACTATCTTAACCTTGGTAGTGCATATGAAAAACTGACTACCATTGGTATTTGGACCAGCATTTGCCATGCTCAATACACCAGGTCCAATGTGTTTCACTGCAAACAAAGAAGAAATATGATGCCCTTCAATTTGATAGAAGTAAAAAAAACAGCCTACATATCCAAAAATAAAAGCAGCTGTTAGGTTGAGGAGGTCTTAAAAGGACATAAAAAGAAAATATGAATCAGGGAAAACCAGAACGCAAGCTTAATCTGAAAGTTATTCCTTTTTAACCGCATACAAAGAATGGACAGTACAACTAGTACTCTAGGCTAGCAGTGATAACTCTTTCTTTTCAAGTTATTCGTAAATCCTGAAGCAACATGTGCTTTTCTAAAATTCAAACTGTAGAAGATAAATAATAGTGAGTGGACACCGTTGATCAAAATAATAATATGAATAGAAATTCACAACCTTGAAACTTGCATTACAGTCCATGTGGATTAGCCAGACAAAAAGTTGGAGCCTGTAAAAGTAAATTAACACTTACAAATGAAGTTCTCATCCTCAAATTTGGAACCATAGATACTCCTTCCTCCAGTCCCCTGTAACCCAAACAACAATCTCATTGTTTAGAAATTAAGAGAGAAGAAGTGAAAATAATTAAAACTTAATCAACTTGCTGAGTCAAACAGTGAACTTGGAAAAAACTAGGGCAACCTTTTAGAAGCAGATTTGAATTGGGACCAAAGCCATAGAGGGAAACATACTATAAGTAGAATCCCCTTGTTTTGGTACCCACTCTCTGGTATATTTAACTTATTGACTGAAAACATCTGCCCAAACCTGAGCCTTACCATTAAAAAAATCGTTCATGTGCAAAACTAAGTTGACTCTGTATAGCAGAGTAAGTTGACTCTGTAGATCAGAGTCCCTCAACGCAAAGCAAGTTTTTATTGACTGATTTGGACCACATATTTCATAGAACAATGGAAATCTCATAATGTCTTGAGTAGCAAAATCACCAACTTTTAACAGCAGAGGATGTTCTGGAGTTCCATTCCATAACCGGATAGGTTCAGAAAATCAAGGTCAGATGACTCAGATAAAACATCGATAATGTTTTTCTTCTTTCTTTTACTTTACAACTAGAAAATTTTAATTGCTTCTTAAAAAAGCAATTACTGCAACACCCCATGAACTGGCACAGCAGAGATTTCAATTTAAAATGCCTTCAATGATTCTGAAAAGTAGGATTTGTGGACCACCTTAAGCACATTGAAGAAGTGTACTTTATCTATTGCGCAACAAAGAGTTGTCCCACAAATCAAAGTTACACTCATATATTGATTAGTACGATTATAACCTCAAAACCTTTGCAGTCACACAAATAAGCAGCGTCATATAACATCATTTGAAGAAGATACATGAAGGAGACGCACATTTCCCTTATCAAAATCTCCACTCTGAACCATGAAATCCTTTATTATACGATGGAAGGAGCAGCCTTTGTAACCAAATCCCTTCTCCCCTGATAATAACAATGAAATCATAAAACAACTAATGAAGAAAACTACGCATGCATAATAAACAGCAACCACCTTCTAGTAATACAAGAACATAACTAAAAACCAAATAATAAATCTAGGATAAGGAAGTATGCCTGTGCACAGTGCCCTGAAGTTCTCTACAGTGGCTGGCACAACATCACCAAAAAGGCCCAACACAATCCTGCCCACAGGCTCACCCCCAACTTCTACATCAAAGAAGCATTTTGTGGTCACATCCGCTTGCAGTTCCTGGTCCTGGAATATTTGAAGCACCATATCCAGTAGCCAAAGTAAAGTTAATTCTGCGTCGCTCATCCAAATAAACTTTACAAGCACATTTATATGCGCATATTTGCATAAAAGTTTATCTTCTGCTAATTTTCATGAATCTAAAAGCTCATTTGACATCAATAAAAGCATCAGTTAGTATAAATAACAGAGAAATTAACTTACATGTGTCATGGCATTGTTGCACACCAGGCCTCGTTTCCCTGTTGCAACAGCACGGGACTGACCTCCACGGGATACGTGCTTTGCACATGTGGCATTGGATGGTAAAAATGTGTTGAAATGCCTCAAAGATAGACTACAGTGATTATTTGGGTTCAAAAAATTATTTCGAATAAAGGTGCTCACTTTATGATCACCAGAAATGTTAGACAGCAAGCACCCCTGCACAAGACATATACCAGATGCATTTGAATAACAAAAAGGTTAAGCTAAACAAATAGCCCCATAAATGACAAACACAACAGCCAACTAAAACAACACCTATAGTGGCTATAATCTAAGCAAGAAACAATCTTCTGAAGTCACAAAAAAGTAGTTATTCTACACTATCGAAAGTAAAACAAGAACAACCTGACACAAACAGATCAATACATACACACCTGTGGAACATATACAATATAAACAAACCTTTGGTTTTCCATTTGTCATCATTCAAGGCGCCAACTCAATGCAGTCTTCAAATTGATAAGAAATGTGTACATGTTGGGGGTAGTAAGGGAGATCTTGAGTTGAGTCCTATATTTGTCTTTGAGCATTGTACTCCCACATGGGGAGCTTGTTATTAAGGCATACTCTCTGATTCTGTATCACGATTATGTAGGCATCACATATATCTATTTGCCAAACTGCCACCTTTCTTTTGTGAAGCATCAAGGACCAACAAATCCTCATGATTATGCAATCAACTCTGTGGCCTAAGAATATGAGGTTTATTTCAAAATTTATGTTTAGTGGTCTGAACTTTAGCTCCATTCTTTTTATATATGAGTCCCAACTTTCAGATTTCAACACTTAAATGTTTTTTCACAGAAAATAGTTGAGAAAATTCATTAGAAACATTTACTGTTTTAGATATCGCAAGTTCTCCACGGTTTCTTTGCCTCTATTTTTTTTTTCATGTTCTCTCATCCAGAACCCAACAAGTTCTTGTGAAATTTGGGAACTTGTCTATATACTTTACCTTTCTCAGAATTCAAACAAAGAAATCGTCCAATTCCCAAGACAAAACAAACAATTTCCACATATCATGAAGAAAAAAAAATTCACAGATGCATAACCTGACTTCCAGTAAAACCCAAGATTAACCAATAATTAACCCAAGCTTCTAAAAAAGAAAATACGCAATGTCCATAACAATATGCTTCTTCTTCAATATCACTCTTAGAGCAACAAGGAAACCACTCAAAAGAGACAATAAAGGCGTACACTCACTCGGAGGCATTAAAGCTTCAGAAATATGCAATTGTGTGCATAACACAATTTACCAGTAAATAACTCATAAAACTACGCAACTCAGAGCATCTTTCTTTCAGTGTTCATCTCCAATTTCCATGACTATAACAAAACAATATCGAAAACGACCAGAATAAACCCATAAAAATGGGGCAAGTGACCGTAATGTTCCAAGGCATCATCAAGCTGATTGTAAAGTTCCAAGGCATCATCAAGCTCTCACAAAATTGATATAAAGCACAGAAATCAAATCCTTTTTTTGGCTAAATACACATGAATCAAAGTCGCCTTGAGAAGGTGAAAATGCATGAAACTGGATCCATAACAGAATACATAAACTCTAATTCTTGAAGGGCTCACACAGAGACAAAGGAACGAACTTGAATGGTCTAACCTGCAAATAGGCAGAGGCCATGGCCGCTGATGAAGCCGACTATCACGACACAGATGATGTAGAGATTATATTTGTATAGAGAGATTATATTTCTAGAGAGAGAAAGAGAGAGAGAGTATTTATAGAGAGAGTGTGGAGGGTTGTGTTTTTTTTTTTGTCTTTTTATGCATTGGGTAAGCCCACCACTTTGCTCGAGAGATCCGCCCCCACGGCAACAAGCTGCACGGACTGAAATGCCCTCATCAATTAAACATAATACATAACTATCCCTTACGTTGCCTCCAATTAGCTCTTATAGCGATGTAATCGAGGAAATTTTGGTTCATTTCTTTTGTGATCATTTTGATGTTTTTTGCCAAATTGTTGTCCGCATATAATCGATACATTTTGAACATGATACACCCAAAAAATTACTCATTACAGAAAATTAATGTCAGGGGCCTTATAATGACTTTTCGTTGTAAGCCTTAAATGCACCAGACACTCATTCTATTGGGTAACTTAACTCGAACAACGAAAAGGTTTTCTTCCATTGCAGTCTTTCAGATTTTCATTTTAGAAATAGATTTTGAATCTAACTGTTATATACTTTTGAGACCATTTATTTTTTTTTGTTACGAGGAGGTTGCAATCGCTAATAATCGTTAGACGTCCAATTTTATGATTTGGAACATGTCATAAAGTTTGAGAATAAATTTTGAAATTTAAATATAATCAATAAGACACTGACAACCAATATGATTTGAAATCTGCCAGACGAGAGTACACAACTATTCCCACTCATTTGATGTTAAATTGGATGGCTTGGGGTGATTCGTGAGATTCAAGATTTTTTTTTTTTTTAGAATTTTGTGTCTAATTAATGACACTTTTACAACCACCCATTTTGAAATCTAAAGAATAAAAATGATTGTAACTTCTTTATACAAAAGATAAATGGTCTCTTTGTAGATAATTTCTAAAAATAATTAATCTTTTCGTATACTTTTTCTTAAATATAAGGACGTCACAATCATTCTCATCCATGAGATTTATTATTGGGTGTTGTGACTCATTGATTAGATTCATACTTCAAAAAAAGAAAAATCTCAGACTTTATAACACACTTCAAAATATCAAATTTGACATCTAATGATCAGAAACAATTGTGACCTCCTTGTAACATAAATAAATAGCCTTATAGTATATAAGGGTGTGTGGTTTGTATAGAGCCGAAGCTCCAAACAATCAAAATAAAACGCACTTTCAAATAATGTCGAGAAATATGGTTTCAAAATTAAAAATTTTTGTGATAGCCTTAAAATATACTTTCATCTTTAATTATAGAATTTAAAGCTTAAAAAATAGTGTAGGTCGAGCATATCTATGAAAACTTGAAAATCATGAAATTTGACAGTCAAAAAATACGTTACAAGATCAACTATTTCCAAAACTTGAAATCTATTTTTTCTCTCATGTTCATGCATCTTGATTTCGAGATAATCAATTTGAAGATATTTGGGCATCAAAACATCATCTTCTAGTGAAATTTTTGATGTGAGCTCTAATTTGATTCTTTAGAGCCTCAGCTCTATATAAACTTTTTTGTAGTATATAATCCCTTGAAAGTAAATAGTCTTTTTGTATTTTTTTCCTTGAATCCAAAGTTTTTTATATCCGCTAATCTCAACCACTACCGCTGCCCATGAATTTGAAGAAAAAAAAAATCAAATCACAAAAGTAGACCATTTTAAACTTCATTTTTAGATGAGTCATTGCTCGATCTAATTTTTCATCGATTATCAGATCTGTATTGGTTTAATACGTTTTCACATGCAAAATCAAAGATCTAAATGGAGAGTGCACAAGGATTGACTATTTCAAATTATAAATCCATATGGATTTTTCAAAGGGAACACAAAATTTCTATTCTATAAAAGCTTATAAGGACACAGTCTAAATTGAAGATGGGAGTGATTTGGATGGCTGAGATAATGGACACATTTGCCCAATACTTGTCTAACAATTCCATTCTTAAAAATTTTATTTGAAGCGCTCAGATGAGAGGATTGCAAAATTCACCTTCTTTCTAACAAAATTAAACTTAGGTGAACCTAAAAATCGAGCAGACAAGAATTTTTCAAAGTTGGAAAAACTTCTAATTGATCATTTCAACTTCGAGATGTAGGGATATAAAAAATAAAATAAAATAAAAATTTTGAATCCTAAAAATAGTATATCTTGTGATAAGTTATTTGGATCGTCTAATTTTCATGATTTTCAAATGTTTATATATTTGCTTGATCTGTACCATTTTTGAAATTTTAAATTTCATAAAACAAATTTGAACATGAATTTTCAAGCCATCATAAGGTTTTCAACATTAGAAATACATCTTCTAACAAAATATCAAAGTGTTCCTTACTTGTTATAGTATAAGGTGGGCACCTTATACAAACCTCACCCTTAAAAAAAAAAATTTACAATACTGCATGTATACTTTTTAAAAGAAAAAGTTAAAATAAGGCCTAAGCCTTGTGAAAAGAAATGCAAAGTTGTGTCTCAAATCTCACCAAAATTTGTAGTTTTGAAATGGAAAATCTTTTAAATAGATCATCTCGATCTTGACCATTACAAAACTGAAAAAAAAAAAAAAAAATTTCAAGCCTTAAATAAAATGTATATCGTGATATGTTATCTCGACAGTCAATTTTCAAAATTTCATTGATATGCAAGATCCCTACCATGTTTTGAGCTACAATTTATAATCAACCAAGAGCCAAGGGTTTCCCATGCCCGAAGTATTTTACAATAGGGTACGGTTTGTATAGAGCAGAGGCTCTAAACAATCAAATTAGAGCCTACCATCAAAATAGTATCAAAAAATATGGTTTCAATATCGGAAATCTTTTACTAACATTAAAATATATTTTTATCTTTACTTATAAAATTTAAAGCTTTAAAAATAGAGTAGATCGAAAAAATCTATAAAATCTTGAATAACTTAAAAATTGACGGTCCAAAATGCGTTACAAGATGTACTATTTCCAAAACTTGAAATCCATTTTTTTCTCAAGTCCATGCATCTTGATATCGAGATGATCAATTTGAGGATCAAAACAACTGCCTTCTAATGAAAGTTTTGAAGTAGGCTCTAATTTGATTGTTTGTCTTCTAATGAAAGTTTTGAAGTAGGCTCTAATTTGATTGTTTAGAGCCTAGGCTCAGTATAAACTTTTTCCTTTACAAGATAGTTTTGAGGGGAGGCTCTAGCCTAGGCCTTGGGGGTTCCTTAGAAGCCGCATTTGACGAATTTATTGATTTGAATTCTAATTACTTCCATCAAAGCTCGTTCTCGGATTGCAAACCCCTTAATTTCAATTCAGGCCCTACTCCAAATAGAATTTTCTACCGAGCAAAGCACGTGTGACGATTTACACCTGTGCAAATATTTGCACGTATGAGTCATCGATCATTGGGTGATGGTGGTCTCGGCTTCCCACTTCTCTCTCACACAAACACAGGCTGAAGATTTAAGCATGAGGAAGAAATGGAAATCCTCCTGTTTTCTTCTTTGATTCCTTCTCTTCCCTTTCTCTCTCTAAAAACCAGAGGAATTCCCTATATCTCTCCAAAATCTGGAGAAATCCCCTCTCTTTCTCTCAAACCAAGAGAAATTCCCGTTCTTTCTCTTGAAACCATAACCTCATCTTCCTCTGCTTCCCCCTTCAACAAAAAGGCCCTTTCCGCCATTAGAGCTTCCCCTAAAGCTTCTCCCAGTGGCGAGGAAGATCCGTCTGTCTCTCCTCTTGGTGAAGAGGATGCTAAGGACTCTACTTATCATGGTTTTGAGATAAGAATTGATAAGACGGGGAAAAATTCGAGGAGAATTAGGGCGAGAATATGGGTGGATGCGAGCCTTGACACCATATGGAGTGTATTGACTGACTACCAGAAGCTCTCTGATTTCATACCCGGTCTTGCAGTGAGCCGATTGCTCGAAAAGAATGGGAAATGGGCCCTGCTTTACCAGGTTCTCTCTCTCTCCTACTTATACCTCTTAATTGATGCATTACTTTGCTTCTACTGGTGCTAATGGCTCTTAGATTTTGTACTGGTTATAAATTAATTACTTTTTTTCTATTAGTTTTTAAAATGTTAATTGCTACTAGATTCGGTTTTGTTTATTAATGTAGTGCTTTGTTTCTGCTGGTGTTTATTGCTACTAATTATTCGGTATTTTTTATCAATGCATTAATTTTCTCTCTCTGGGTGTTAATTTCTAGTAGATTTGTTATGTTTATTAATGCATTACTGTGTTTCTGTTGGTTTTGATTGCTACTGGATTGTTGTTGTTTATCGATAGATTACTTTGCTGATATTGATGTTAATTGTTGCTAGAATTCGTATTGTTCATTGATTCATTCCTTGGTTTCAAGCAGATTGGTCAACAGAATCTGGCATTTGGTTTGAAATTTGATGCTAAAGGAATTGTAGAATGTTATGAGAATGATGTTGAGTTTCTTTCTTTTGGTCGAAGGCGAGATATCGATTTCAACATGGTTGAAGGTGATTTTCATACTTTCCGAGGCAAATGGTCCATAGTACAAGTAAGAAACTTGAACTTGAGATTCTTTACTATATACTTCAACTCTCAGATATAAACCATGGGTTGCAAATCAGACGTTCATTGTTATACATAAATAGGATTGATCATCTTTTTTTACTTCTTTATTATTTTTCTTTAGAAGAAGATATAATCTATGTTAACATGAAAGCAATTAAATAGAGAAACATACTGATCAGGAAGTTAGTTGTGTTATTGTATATATGGTTTGCTTTTGAACCTCAGAAGAAATCTAAGGCTATATATATTCTCCAGTTATGCTTTTGTTGAAGCATCATAATTGTATTTATTATTTAATTCATTGTGAAGAGCCACAGATCATGTTTCATTGATGTATACATATCCAACTTATCAATGGCACTAAGCACTAAAAGTTCGAAATTTTTAAATGTTTAAATAGACAGTTTTTTATGATCCTTTATAACTCACTTATAGTTTTCTGTTTCTTCTTTCTATTTTGTACCTCAAAAAGTAAAAGTTTTGAAAATATAAAATGTCTTGTATCCCATATACGTATAAAGACACATGTATACATCTGCATCATAGAGCAGCCATATTGCACTGAATGTACACGTTTTTGTATAATGTGTTAGTGCACGAGGACAGTGTAGCGCTATTTGAATACGTGACATAGGGGACTTTCTTGGGATTCTTTGAATTTTTTAACAATTAAAAAAATGATTGAGGTCTGTGCCTTACTAATCAAAAATGAATTAGATCTTACCAATCAAATTCTTTGAGGAATTTGAAGGAAATAATTTGTAAGATTTTTAGCGAGGATGTGGTGGTGGACTTAAAGAAGATGGTGTATCTCTCGATAGTCGTAACTTGACAAGATGAGCTATAATATCTTGGGTGCCGGTTAGAAATGAATATGGAATGCCCAGAGCCCAGATTCGATGACATAAATGGGAGTTCTGTGTTAAAGAGATTAAAATATAGCACTCGTAATTAATGGAAAAAGTTTATGTAAGGTCTCAACAGTAAAATGTAGAAGGTACACCTCAAAAATCCATCGGAAAAAAGTTGTGACTATGGAAATCCTTCTAATCGATCATCTTGCCTTGAGATGTATGAATGTGGAAAAAAATAATTTTCGAGTCTCAAAAATAGTACATCATGTAACACATTATCTGAACCGTCCTTTTTCAAAATATTCATATATTTATAGATCCGCTTGATTTGAACCATTTTTTGAGCTTTAAATTTTATAATTAGAGATGACAATACATTTTCAGGCCATCCTGAGAATTTTTTATACCAAACATACATCTTTAGACAAAGTTTGGAGGTGTGCCTTACTTTGATTGTTTAGGGTTGCAACCTTATGCAAACCACACCCTAAATTATTTGGATACTAGTGGCCCTCAGCTGAATTCTGATGGGAACATGAAGGTAATCCATACCTGAGTGGTTTGTGCATATGTAGTCAACATGAGATGTGTATTATGTGGCCTTATACTAGTTTTTGAGAGGAGAGAGAGATTCTTTAGATTCTAAGCTAGATCATACTAGATCCCCATTGGAGATGCTAATTGTCAAAATGAACTCCTTGAACCAGGTAAGTAGGTTGGGCAACTTTTCTCAGCCCCCTTTGAGGCTCAATGATAACATGGAGGAGCTTTGAGATATATCCAGATCCATAGAATTTAAACTCTCCATCGTGTTTACACGGAAGTTAACACAGTTATTTTAACACTGTTTGACTTATTAGCTGTTTGATTTGTTCAGAATTCCAATTCAAATTGTTGACACTCAATCCCTTAGCTGGTAGTTTCTATGTTAATTCACATATTAAAGAATAAACCTATCTAGAGAATAAACAAAAAATGAAAATGAGTTATGCCCTTTATGTTTACCGCAATTCATTCCACTGATCGTGATTGGGTTGACATCTATAGGAATTTCTTGGATCCCTTTATTGTGTCGTTCATGGCAATTGTAATACATATGATACTTGACAGTTCCCTATGTCTCACATATTTGAAATATAAATCCCACTTTTTTGTACTTGTTAAAGAAAAGGAGAAGGAAAAAAAAAATTTCAGCTCAGTCCCAACTACAAAGAAGGTGTCTTCATTTAGAAGCAGCTGTGGTTTGTTCCTATTCTTATTAATAATTTCGAGTGCCTTCCAGCAAACCCTGGTACATGGAAATTTCAGATTTGGCGATTATTCCTTATGTTATTAAAATGAGAATGGCCTGGTTATTGAACTAACAGGCTTGCTGCTCTGCTTTGACCAACCTGTTAGCTATTTCAATCCCACTTCTAATTAATTTCTGAAGATAAAGGATGTTATTACGTGAACTTTTGGAACTATCTACATAATATAATTCAAACACATGTAAATCAAATTGTTTTACTATAAAGAATTTCTATTAGTACAATTAATTATTTTATTTTAAAACATTTATAAAATGTCTGCCATATATTGTAGGCTGGAGAAGGGATATGGATAGATGGTAACATATCAGGGGTGCGAGTGCGGCGCACCATTCTTACATACTTTGTTGATGTGGTTCCAAAGCGATGGCTGCCGGTTGCTCTTGTAGAAGGAAGGCTTTGCAGGGAGATTGAACTCAATCTCCAATGTATACGAGAAGTAGCTTCGAAAACAGATGTTGATTCGCTTTCTTCCTTTTGATGGAGATGCTATTAAATAATTCATAAAATTATCTTCAATTGTATTGAGTCTTTCTTCTTCAAAACCTCCATGCATTTCATACTTGCACATCTCTCTCTCTCTCTCTCGCTGTGTGCTGCGTCGGCTACACCTTTTCGTATGCAGGACCCGGACAAACCCATCAAAAGAAAAAAAAGGTTGCATTTTAAGAGTAGTCTGTTTTGAACATTTTTCTTGCATTTCACCGGATCTTCTCTATTTTAGTAACGGGTTTTTGCAAGTTTTAATAGGAGAATTCTTCACTAAAAGCTAACTATAATTTTGAGCGTATTAAAATGTTTTTTACATATAGGTGCTCTGTTTGATGGTGCAAAACCATATTCTTCATTCTAAGGGATTTCATCTCTATTTAAATAGCTCGCTCACCCTATTCCTCTCCTATTGATCCCCATATGCTGGGAGAACACTTTTGGAGCTACCACTATGATCCCAACCCCTTTTTTAATGCATTAGTGAGAATAAAGGCCGTGAAATGGGCAAAGTGGTACCACCACCAAGACCCTGGCTTTATTTTTGTAATAAGCTCGTTTTTACATTCACATGAGCTTTTTTCATTTTTGGGTTTAAATCTACATAAGCTTTTCTGATTCTCTGTTTAGGATATTTTATACATTTAAAGTCATTAGGTAGGGTCTGGCCCACACCCAGCCAAGGCCTTTTAGAGCTCTCTATGTTGGGAAGTCTCCCTTCCATTCTTTCCTATCTATTCTGCTCCCTTCATTATGTTCCCCTTCTGGTTTTATTCACTGCATCTAATTCAAAATTGAAAAAAGAGTGGGGGACATGAGCTTCCAACCAAGCAAACAAAATAAACGACCCATTTCCTTCTGGAAAACTTTAAAGTACCAGGAGAACAAAGAACAATTGAATTCAACAGCTACCCATCCAAATGCCATTACACAAAGGACTCGTTGCCTTCTGGAAAAAAATTTTGACCCAAAATCCAAAAAAAAAAGAAAAAAATGAATTCATACACTCATCCACCCAAAATCCCATACATTATGCATCACACGTGAACAAAGCGACCACCGCACCTACCCCCTAGGCAAATCAAGCCTTTTCACCGACTGAGAGTACCTCATATTACATGCGCAAATCACATAAGCCAGCTCTCTCTCTCTCTGTCTCCAAGTACATAATCTCCCTTTGCACAAACACGAGACACGAGAGAGAGAGAGAGAGATGTTCACTCCTATAGATCCACCCCAAGTTTCACAACTGCAAGCATCTCAGCTTCAAGCTCCAAGTATGCAAGCATTTCGAGGCCGTCCTCCACACAAGCACGCAGCTCGGCATTATGCACAACCCACACATACCCCTCGACCTCAACATCCCCACAAAGGGAATACCTGCTAAAGTGCTTGACCCTGAACTTCCACTCCCCCTTCTCCGCATCAAAAGTCACAAACTCAGCCCCTTGCTCCTCTGTCTTCTTCGCAAGCATTTTCTTATACTTCTCAATTTCAGGTCCTTCAGTGAACTGCCGGCCAGTCTTCTTATCCATGCACCGCACATTAAGCAAAGTAATCTCAGCTGGCTTGTTAAGGCCCAAGCCCACAGGTGGCTTCTTACTCTCATCCATATAAACCACTACCTCACACTTATTGAACTGAACAATGGACTCGAGGTCAAGGCCACGAACATCGGTTTCACCAAAGAAGCGGATCCAACCATAGCCTTTCCGACCCACCACAAAGTCCTTTACTTTTCGGCAAAAACCAGGTTCCGCCCGCTCTTTGGCCGCAAGCTCTTGGATTTTGGGTTCAGTGTAGTAATCGGGGTGTCGAAGCTTTGGCATGAGGGCCTCAATATCAGCACCATGCTCGTATGCAATGGCTGCCTCACCGGCTCGGTGACCCGAAATTGAGATGTACCCATTGGTGGTGGTGGCCTTGTTGTTGCGGATTTCGTCATGGTGGCCGTTTTGATATGGGGAGGATGGGAAGCTGGGCTCACCACCATCCGTGCCGTTTTCCACAGAGGCTTCTGCACCACAATCAGCATTTCAAGGTCAACTAAGAGCACATAGATGTGTGTGTGTGCATGTGTGTGTGAGAGAGAGAGCACTTAAAGTACATAGATGTGTGTGTGCACGTGTGCATGGCCTGAATTTGGAAGTTTTTATCCTTCTATAATAAAAAATAGGATGATATTCTGAAGGATTAAGTATATATAAGGCGGCAACCTTAATTCTAGAAGGTGGTTGTAGTCTACACCGTCCATTTTAGTTGGAGGTGTGTCGACAGTTCTAAAAGATCTTCTAAACTTTGATATTGCTTTAAAAGACATATCAAATCTACATGGTCCAACTAAAATGGTCAGCATAGAACATTGCAACCTTGTCATTGCCTGATATAAACTGCATCCTATTCTGAAATCGGATGGATATTCTGAACCCATTTTCCAACAGAAATAAAAGTGAAGTGCAGTTAGTTTTTTGGAATTTGGATCTAAAAGCAAAAATTATTCCTCAACTTCAGTTGTATTGAAAACATAGTTGCATTTTTGTTTGTCATCCTTCAGCTGAGCCAGTGGCATATTTGTCCATGCACACCAAGTAATCTCAAATTCATGCATTCCGATAAGCATATCGGAATTTCATAATCCTATATAAACTGAATCTCCAATTACTTTAATTTAGTAAAACGTCAAATAATTCAAGTATTCAAGGAATAAGGATAGCAGCAACCAGAACACTGAAAAAATACATTGGAGAAAGGATAATGGTACTATTGTAGAAGAAGAAACTTACTTCCATTGTCTTGAATAGGAGACTCCTCCAAATGGGGAGCTGAAGGCCCTTCATCTGGTATCTTACCTGAAACCTCACCATGAATGTGTCAAGTATTTCAATATGATATAAACCATGACAGCAAAACAGCAAGAGCAGATACCCAACAACAGTCGGCATCAATTATTCTTGGAACTCATACCAGGTGTTAAAACAAGTCTTTCCAAAAGAGAAAAAGAGGAAAAAATACACAACAGTATGTTCTTTAAAAGTGTAAACACAGAATGTGTGGTGGACATACAAGTACACTTTGAATGGCTACTAATGAGTATGCCATGATGCGTGCTTATATTTTTGAGAATTTGTTCTTAGGGAAACATTTAATTTTCTCCCTATTCCTGATAATAAGGTGGTGGCTGGTGTTTCAAGAATAAGCGCCAACTGTTTTTTCTTAGATTGAAGAACAGTGACCATGCTCATGTCAACAAAAACATGAGAACAAAACAAAAATCTAAAACCAAACAAGAAGCAAACAGCATATTTACCATTAGGGCTGTCCTTCAACATATTCTTTTGGGAATATCGGTTGGATGGAAACTGTTCCGTAGGATGGATGAACAGTGCTCTTGGATTCTCTCTTGGAACAAAAAGAGCATCTGCTTTTGGTGTGCTAGGCGTTTCCTCACTATCACTGAAGTATGATACCTGCAACGAATAATGGAAGACATGAAGGCAGAATAGTAGTCTAAATCAAGACAATTTCTACAGCATTTCAATATCAGAAAGTGGCTACTCTTTTTGAAATTCCTAACACTAACCAAAGAATCGGAAAGTTCCACAATGTTCATTCTTTTTTCTTTAAAATGTTTTAAGCAATTTTCTACTTGATAATTAAAGTGTACACAGTTAAGTATTTTATTATCAAATTTATACAATTATTCCTACCATGGGACCATCCTTTTTCGGATGATATCTTCTTGACTGCAAGTTAATCCTCGATCTCTGGGAGACATGTCGAGAAGTCAACAAAGAGGAGATCCTGACAGGAATTGGCTTGTCGGCGACCTGCTCAGACAAATACAGAAGACGATCAAAATCACTGGCCAAGTCAAAGTGATGATCAAATTTATTTCCTGGATAGATGTCAGTCGTGGCATATCCCAAAATGTGATAAAAATTTCCAGAAGACAGGGATACCAGACCTATAAGTTTCAGGTGCAAATTTTAATATTTTGGAAATGTTAAGGCCAAGGGCAAAAACCTGTGCTCGGATTCATACAGCCTTCAGGCTAAATGTAATCTTACAAAAATTTCAATTCTTAATATTCAAAAAATAATAATTCAAATGCAATAGTAAAGGCTACAGACAAAGTACTATAACGCTCCGGAAAAACCACAAAATCGAAAGGGAAGGGTCCATGAACTTCATCCAAATATTAACGAAATTTGGACAGGATCTGTGCCAGTTTCATCCACAATCAAGCAATGCATGGATAGATTCAAGAACCAGCTAAGAGCCAACAACTGATATTTAGAACTGTGCAATTATGAAAATGTAATCATAGACTGCCAGTTTCATCCACAATTCGAGCTATTCATAGATAGATTTAAGCATCAGCTAAAAGCCAAAACAAAAATTCAGCAGATATAGATACAGATTTAGCAAAAAAAAGGCCGTGTATGCTATATCAAGCTGATAATGGCGCAATGAAATGTTAGACTAATTAATGCCCATGACAGCTCCTTTAGTAAACTGGGTCCAGCAAGAATAGGTCCGTAGAGTAAGAAAGGATTCCCCGTTCTACCACAACAAAACTTGCTTAAAAAGAGCAATAAAATAAACACTTGTTACACAAATATATTTTTGCACTAGTATAACTTACAGGCATGCTTGAAATCCCATATTGCACCGAGGGGGCAGAGCCACTACGCCCAATTGACATCTGAGGCATTGCAGGTAGAGTTCCAAAAGGATTCGTAACAGGAACAGGTTGCATGACCATGACGCTCTGAGTAGCAGCACTGATAAGTGAAAAGAGAATTAGACAAATCAGTAAGAAAACATGACAGTCCTGTTACGAACTACTGATAATATTTACATGACCAAAATATCAGCATTTTACAGGAAATCGGAAATTTCAAAAAATTAACCCTGAGTTGAAAAATAAACCAAAACATTAACATTCCATATGAAAGTTTTCCATAGTTACACTAGAATCAGATGACTATTCACATGAGAAATAAGTTCAACAAAGATGCATGTGAGCCATTGAAATTTGGAGCTCAAGGGGGAAAAAAGATACAACCACTTGTAAATTTAAAGGTAAGGTCGACAAGAATCCAGGAAAATCCACCATCCAACTCCTACAGATGAACAATAAAGAGTAGCTTTTATCAAAAGAAATACAGTGTTGTGTAGGCCCAATGTACCGCTATTCTCCAGTGTATGCAATCAGAACAGATAGTGGATAACCCCTTGTACTACTGTATATCAAACTCCATTAAATTATACTATACTTTCCAAATCTAAAAGCACAATAAAAGTAATCTTTTAGGTCAGAGACCCAGTATATTTCATGTCAAAAGAACATAGTAAGCTGTTTTTGAAGGTAACATTCAAACTATATACAAAAAAAAATCTGAAAAAAAAAATATGGATGATCCATCTTGCATTGTTTGGCAAAACAAGTGGTGCAGTATAACAGTTAAATTAACTTCAAAACAGACATAAGCTAGACAAGTTGAATGACACCCATAAGCAATTGGTACACATTACTTCTCACAACATATCAAAAGAAACAGAAGGTATTTCCATAGACAATATTTCCTGAAAAACCTAAGCTCCTCAACGGAATTCTGGAAATCATTCCGTTCACACAGAAAAAAATCCAGGATAATTCCAGGTCCTCTTTTCTCCAAATAACTTCAGCATTCAAGATCGTTTAAATAACTTCAGCATTCAGATCGTTTAGATTCTCCATTTTCAAAGGCAAGGGGCACTTATAGCATCATATGTCCTACAGCAATTTCTTTCAAAAACAACACAGATTCTTTTTCCATGACAAAGCCAGACAGATTTTGAAGGTAACATACGGTTGCCCAAGGGTAGATTGACCGAAAGTACTTGATACAGCACCAAAACCACTTGAAGCTGCTAAACACCACCAAGAAAACAGTGTCAGAAAAGCAAACTTGCACAACTAAAATAAGATGAGAGAAGAACATCACCAATGAAATCACAAAAATACCTGGTTGTGTCTGACCAAAGTTGCCAAAAGAAAATGCACCTGAAGTCTGTGCAGGTGCAGAGGGCTGCACTCCACCAAAAATTGAAGGCTGCAAGGAGAAGGGTTACTTGTATAACATTCATCGAGATGACAAAGGACAACTCACTAGATTAACTTTACTTGGAGAGAAAAACTGAAATCAGTATAAATCAAGAGATTCAACGAATACGCCACCAAAATAACCAAAATCCTTGAAACAATATTCTGTAGGTCTCATCCAAAACTAATACTCCTAAATTCAGATTTCTAGTTCTCATATCCAGTGTTTCTATAAATTTGTTTGGGTACAAACCATCAGCCCAAGTAATGTTAAGCTCCCGCATGAAAATTTTGATTAGAGATTTGATACCCACACCTTCCATTTGTGTATTATGTCCAACAATGAAAGTAAATCAAGCCCATGGTATTGGCCAAAAATGTCCATTGACCTTTCAGACCAGTGTCAGACGTTCACTCCAAGGAACCAAAGATTTTAGCAGTTTATTCCAAAACAAAAGAAGACCATAAGATAAAAAACACTCAAGACAAATATCAATCGCACTAAAGTAGTCAATCTATTGAACTAACACCAAAAAAAACATAACTTAATCAAATACCATGAATTTTTTCTTCTTATTAACAATACCAGAAAAATATTAGACAGCTCACCGTAGTTTGACCAAATCCACCACGCTTCGACAGCATTGGTGGTGTCGAACCACTAAATAGACCTCCTCCAAACCCAGTGGAAGGCGCCCCAAATAAATTGGCCTGCCCAAATGCCGGGCTACTTTGGCCAAATCCAGTAGTCTGTCCAAATGTCGAAGCCGTTTGCCCAAAACCGGGGGTCGGCTGCTGCCCAAAAGCACCAGGAGTTGTTTGTCCAAATGAAGGAGTTGAAGAAAATAAACCCGATGATTGGGTGTTACCAAAATTCATGCCAGACCCAAATCCCGGAGTTGAACCCGATGCTGGAGCCGAACCAAAGATGGAGGGAGAAGATGATCCAAAACCGGGTGTGCTAGATACATTGAAAGGAGATGACGTAGCCCCAAATGCAGGTGTAGTGGATGACCCAAAAAGAGATGGAGCAGATGAAGTGGACCCAAAAGGACTCGATGATGATGCACCAAAAGGACTGCTGAATGCTGAAGTGGATGGTGCCCCAAAACCAGTGGTACCAAAAGAATGAGTTTTTGGAGCAAAGATATTGGAGGAAGTGGAAGACGAGAAGGGATTGGGAGCTGTCTGACCAAAGGCACCTCCACCAAAAGGGCTTGGCTGGGATGGCTGACCAAAGAGACCACCAGCGGGCTGACCGGCAGGGCTTGGTCCCCCTGCAATATCACAAAAAATGAAAAATAAGATATTAGTAGTGCAAGGCATATCCATCAATTTCAGAAGCAAATCTCTACCATTTAACAATTACAGAGTCCATTGAAGAGAAAATAGTTAAAGGCTTATTTAATACAAGGCATATTGACCAATTTCAGGAACAACTCTCTATTAGTTAAAAATTACAGAGTCCCTTGTAGAGAAAAAATCCAAATAGCGTGTGATTATACACTACATCGCATTAAATGAGTAAATGGCATATGGTTAACATTCCATTGAGGAATGACATACGCATATCGTTACACACTCTAGAACACTAGACAGACAGAAATGCATATGATAGTTAAAGAAATACAGTAAAATCAATAACCTCAAGAAAGGACAGAGAAAAAAATTACAAATAGTGACAGGAATTTTTCTAGTCCATTCAGTTAATTATATAATTTTCATGTCTTACCTACTAGCAGCAAATTAATTACATTTAAATTTTACTGCCAAAGCAATAAGTATGTGTGCACGCATGTATGCACGTGGGCGGCTACTGTAATCAAATGTAATATTTCCTTTGGTAAGGAAAATCGTGATTCCTTGAATACAGATCGATTGCTACTACGATATAACATTCTGACAATATTTAATACCCAGTGAAACCAATATTATCAGCTTCATTGTCCAATGAGAAACTAGAAATGAAAAGAATAATGACGTGTTCAACCTTTATCTCCCAACTGGTAATCTTCCCATCTCAATTCCTCATGGCTCTTATCTTTATACACAGGCATGGCAGATATTGATTCCAGCTTTCCAGGGGCCGCTCCAGCAACGCCACCATCAACTTCAGGAGTGGGAACGTAAGGTGCAACTCTACTTCCACCACGTTGGCCTCCGAAAGCTGTTTGTCCAAAACCTGGACTACCAAATGTAGGTGTTGAAGTCTGGGCCCCTGTCAAACGTTTGAGAGGTTATGAGAAAATAATTGAGATGAAGGAAACATTAAGCATAGGAAAGAACAATTCACATTGAAATGCACATGCCAATTGACACATGGGAGAAGCCATTAGTAAAACAGATACATTAGCCAAGGAAGGGGTGGGAGTAGCAAGCATTCTGATCATATTTTCTTCGGACATGAGCTGACTGCTTCGATTTCTTTCTTTTTTCTATATATATATATATATATATATATATATATATATATATATATATAGTAGTGTGTGTGTTAGTTAGTTAGTTCGTTGTTGTATGTGTAGTACGACGTACGTAACAACGTAAGTAATACTAACTTAGTACGTACGTACTAACTAACTTA